ATGTATTATGTGCTTGAAAGTATTTAGCTACACCATAAATGCCATTTTATTGAAATTAACATGTTCTGGCTTTTTTGATTGTTCTGACCTTTCTGTCATTTTCCCAAACAGTTAGATTATTATAAACATTATAGATGGAGAAGAACGGACAGGATTGGAGGGGGCAGAAGATGGAATGACTGGGGCTGAAGACATACTGTACCAGACAGAATGCATATACTTGTGAGTACTTAAGAGACACAACACAGAGAAAACTGACAGATGGGAGAGTTTGGGGGAAGTCTGGTCAGTCTTATAGATGAGGAAGAAGATGGCCTTATCAAGGTCCTTGAAAACTGAAGCTACAAAAAAACATCACTAGTTCCAGGAATTGACATGTCTGGCAAGGTACTTGATTTCCTTTTGAGCACAATGGAAAGATGACCAGTAAATAGAAAATGCTCTTTTGCTTGTAAAGTGAAAAAAAAAAGTCATTCAAAATATTTCTTAACACATAGGAAATAGAATTGACATAAAATACTCAAGAGTGAAAATAAGCTGAAGGCTGGAGGCTGAATCAGCTGATCCAGAACTCCAGGACTCATGGAAGTATTGGTTTTACTTAGGAATTTGTCATCTTAGTCTTTGCTCTGGAGGTTAATTTGAATAGATATTGGAGAGGGAACTCCTGATTGAAGTTGCCAGTTGATTTCTGATATTTTATGTGTAGGATTTAGTACAGTGTAACTTCAATCGAAGTACTTTTGAATTTAACAAACTAAATCTGCTAAAGGGGAATTTTGTCAGCAATACTTAACAAAGGAACAATAGGTTTATTCCATGCTAAAAAGAGAAGAAAGAAAACACGTTTTGGCCGTGGAGCCTTCTTCAGGTTTTTTTCTTCTTCTCTTTTCAGCATGGAATAAACCTATTACTTATTTCGTTGCGGCCTACACATGCTGACACAGCTACCCACCTGAGTAATTAACAAAGTCAAGAAAGGTAGTACCTAGTTTGATAACTAGGATAACAGACTTGGTTTATTCTTAAAAATAGGACATACTGAAGAAGGCTCCACAGCTGAAACCTTGTGTCTCTTTTCTTTTCCTTTCAGCATGGAATAAACCTTTACCTGTTCCTAATTCAGGAATAACAATGGTAGGTTACCATATGCTACTGTAGGTTAATTGCTTACGATGGGTGTTTGTGTTTCATATACTTTAGCAAATGTTACACAGTATATTATAACACAAGAAATAAAGAGCTTGCATATTTATTATAAAAAGCACATTAATAATTTGATTGATAGTGCTGATTGCAATTGTTTAAAAAATAAGTCAAAAGATACAGGAAGCATAAACTGTATTCATTTCATCATATAACAATGTGTTTTTGGGCTGCAAAAACATCATGTATGATTTACAGGACATTCAGCAATAACAGACACCTCCTCACCTCTATTAGTCCATTAAACTGAGGGTTTACTGTAATTTAAAAAAACAATGAAAAAAACGGTTCACTGGTCCAATGTCCAAGATGGTCCAATGACCAATGTCCAAGAAAAAAATGGTTCACTGGTCCAATGTCCAAGATGCCTTCTTTCTTCATGGAAGGCTTTGAAGTCTTCCCTATACTGCTACTATACTGTGATAAAACTGAAAACAGAAGTCTTTATACTATAGAAAAGTGCTACCTTTGAGCACAAGCTTATTCATCTTCCTCAAATGTCAAGGTGACCAGCTGCTACTGCCAGACTGCAGGTTTATCCAGTTGTTTTACTAGATGCTGTCCATTGAGGAATGGATTCTTCCTTTGGGCTTTCTGGAGGATGTCACCTTGCAGCCGTGGAAGGGAATGCTTACTTTCTCTGAAGGGCCTTCAGCAGAGGCCATCGGAAGTGTATTAATAACCTTAACTACTATATGACCTTGTATCCACAAAATCCTAAAACGTCATGTGTCTCTGCCAGTTATTAATTCTTAGTCAAGTGCAGGATTTATTGCATTTCCTTTTTTGACACACAATGTGGTTTCATATTTTCCATAGCTCTGACAAAACTGGCATTTTTTTCAAGCAACAGCCTCTTTCCCTTCTCGTGCAAGTGGACCAGGCAACTTGTTCTTCAAGTTTCCTTCCAAAAACTAGGCTTATCCTGATAAATTAAAAAATGTAATGTTTCAATGTTGCTTAACCCCCCACATATCCTCTAAGATGTATACTAGAACTCAGAAGTTCAGGGGATTTGTTCTATCTTCAAGGATGAAAAGAAGATCAGGGCGAGAAAACCAGCAGCTTCTCGGCAAGGACACCTCCCAAAAAGGCACTGTATATTGATCAGGCACAACACAACCTGTTAATAAGTTAATATATTTTTTTAAGTTTTGATGATTACCAAAGCATAAGTTCTCCTTGACTCTTGGATAATTCTTTCTCTAAATTATTTCTTGTCAGTAGCCATATCACCCTGCAGCTCACAACTGACAACCCACTAAAGCAGGTATGAGCCTGGTCAGCACCTGGATGGAAGACCTCTTGGGAAAATAATGGTTGCTGCTGGAAGAGGTGTTAGTGGGGCCAGCAGGGGGCCAGCATCTATGAATTGGCTTTATCACTCTGCTCTCCTCCCTACTGATAGCAGGTGTGTGGTGAGCGTTCTGGTGCACTATGGCTGCTGTTGCATCATCCAGGTGGATGCTGCGCATTGGTGGCGGTGGAGGGGAGTCCCCATTACCTGTAAAGCGCTTTGAGCGGAGTGTCCAAAAAAGCACTATATACAGTAAGTGTAAGAAATGATTTATTATTATTAAATTGGTTCTTATCTCTCAGTGTAATATTAAGCTAAAAAGATAATTTTCATTTATAATCAAATGATTATATTCACGTTGAATCCATATGATATCCTGTGCTGATCTTTACTTCTGTAAATGTGTCCTGAAAATCACTTTGTAATATAGTGTGTAGTTGCCACAGTAGTTATTTCAAATATGCCAACTAATTTTAAAAGATCCCTACAGTATGTGTATATCCAATCTGTGCTTGCAAAATGTTTTGACTGCAGAGGCCACAGAATTGGTTTTATTTTTTTTTAATTCCACAACAGTTATACCATTATTCGTTTTTTAAGGTTAAGAACAATATTAAATGTCTTGCTTAATGGCCACTTACAATCTTTTTGTGATATACTGTACAGTGCAATTCAGCTATCACGAGATAGATACTTTATTGATCTTGTGAGTGAAATTGCAGGTAAATCATCTGGATGAATCAAGCCTACTCTAATGTTGCATAAACATTCTTAGAGATAAACAGTCTTCAAGATTTCATGAAACAGTCACTTTTTCAGTTTTATTCTTTTTACTGTTTATAGTGTGCTACTGATTTCAATTTTCTTCTTTATATCATACAGCATGTATGCATGTGTTCAATCCCCTGCTACCTTAACTCAGTACCAAGATGTTGGATTTTGAGCAAAATAAAACACCCAACAAGCAAATTAAAACCAAACTCTTTACTATTGTAGAATCAGTTAAACTACTTGTACATTGCTACAATGAATATTTGTACAAAAATGCAGTAAAAATAGAATTGATTAATATGTACAGATATGTCACATTAGTGTAGGCAGGCAGGTCATACATGTAGATGACAAGTACCTTAATGATCTTGCACAATAATACACAATATAGATATTGTTTATCATCATCAGTGGTACTACTCTCCATTCCAACAGACTTTTAGAACAACATACAATATATAATCATAAACAATCTCTGAATATAGGTGTTTGGAAATTAAAAAATGTACATAAATGACAAGGTGCTGGATTCTTACTTATTGAAGGTGCATAAGAATATACTGTATAATCCAGAAATAAAAATGAGAATTTAAAATTGGACATTTATTAGACGTGACCTTTTCCTATTTAGGGCATCATCATTTTTTTACTCTGAGAAGCAAACATTCAGTGGCAAGAGCACTTCAGTATGTTTACAACAAAGAAAAACATGCCCTGAACTGTAAAATAAGTCTTCATTAAACAGTACATGAAACAATATTTTTTATTTTTTATAATTTTCTATGAACTACTTCATTAAACATCTTTACTTCATATAAGTAGTTGACGTTAAGCCATATCAACACCTTTTCCCAAATAAAACATTTTTTTTCTTAATGTTCACCATTAACAAAATGGAGACATGAGGTTCATGATTTGTCCTTTACATCTTTCTTGTAAATGTGTTTGCTTATGCATTTAAAGTTAAAATGTACTGTAACTTCCCAGCAGAATTCAGGAACCAGTGTGCTCTTTAATTTAAACAACAAATTTAGGCAACTTCAGTTATATTAAGAACTGCTACTTGGTCTCTTTTCTGCTTTTTTTGACTGTCATATAAACCATTAAATTTTGAATTAAATTATTTTTCTCACTAAAACTAAGCAGCACATTAAGGAATTTAAGCAATTAACATACTGCTAAGTAGCCTGTATAATCAACAATGAAATACAGGGAAGCTTGTTTTAATCCACTCCATCAAAAGCCTACTGTTGGTTTAACAGCTCAACAAAGATACCTAAAACTTTAAATAAAAGTAGTGTGATCAAAAATAACTACAGAAAACATCTATTGTTAATTCACTGAAATTGTGTTTTTCTTGTCTATTTGAATATTTCTTTATTCGATAATAGTGGACTTTGACATTTAACCTACATGGGAAATACTGTAAATAAGAGAGTGTTATTTGAATATACTCAAAAATCACAGATCGACTGTGTTTTGCCCGGTCCTGATCAGAATTCGATCAGAATTCAAGAAATAGTGAGAGCATATCCATTAGTAAATGGAGCATGGTATATATGATAGTCATTCATTCCTTAAACAAAATTATGGTCCTTTACTTCATGACTTTAATCAAGGAAAAATCAAACACCAAGGACTGCAGCACATAGTCTGCTCATTTATACCTGTGAGGTATAATTTTGCAGTGCAAAAGAATATTGTGATAACCAGATGGCCACATCTGAATGATCACATTGGCAAAGCATGAATGTCATTACCATAGTTCCATCAAAATACATTTCAATATCCTACTGTACCATCAGAGCAAAATTATGTTATAAATTCTCTGTTCCACTAGAGCAGCTAAGCTTTCTGGTATAGTTCACGACTCCTCAGACAGGTCCCAAAAAAAATGAGCCCCTTTAATGAAAACTTTATTTCTGACACTTCAACATCTTTAAAAAGTCAAACATGCTGAACTGGGCCAGATAAAACTTTCAGCACAGTGCAAGGTATACGCACGTTTTGTTAAAACAAACCAGACTGCTGTTTTTCATAGACGAGAGGAACATAACAAATATGAGTTAAAAGGCAGCTTATTGATGCTGCAAGGCAAATCTTGGCATACTGTAGCAAGGTTTCTCTCTTAACCAACTTGCTTTCTTTTTAAATAAGAAACGTAGAAAGCTGCAAGTGCACAAAACTCTATCCAGCCCAATAGGTCAAGAAATATGTTTTCCTTATTTTGCAAATTGTGTAATTTAAGACAGTAAAACTGTTACTTTAGAATTGCTGATTGTGCTAACATACAGTATACAAAATTCTTGCTGATTGAACTTAATGAAAAACAACTGCAACCCAGTATGATAAAATGGACTTTCTCCGAGAAAGCAATGGAGCTGTTGTCTCCCAACACCTCTTTATACTTCCTGTGATTTGCCTAATCATTGCTTTTCCTGGAAACATGCTTTTTTATACTACATTATACAGTTGGCATTATGCAATAAAAGGTAAGACATACAAAAACATCTACAATAACCCCACTTGGACAGGACATGCAGAACGTCATTTCCTAATTGTCTTTTAAGTTTATGGTTGCCATTCAAACACCCAGTCTGCAATCAGACCTAGACAACTGTTTTCTTAAACCCATTGAGGAACACTCACTGATCACTGTCATTGAACATCTTTATCAGATGTTTTTGAAAAATGTAGATCAATTTCAAATCAGAATTTCTAAGCCTGACACTCAGGCTGCAGATTAATGACAACCAAGCTTTGAAAATGAAAGTTCAGCGACTTCAATTATTATCTCTAGCAATGAGCCCTATAATTGTCCTAATTTGAGAAAAATGTCACGTCTTTGTCTAGAATGGATAATTCATGTTGAAAATCTAACACTGCTCTGACTTTGGAGACAAAGAACAGACTCAAAAGAGAAGGAAGAGGGGGATTAATTAGTTTCACAATTCTTTCAACCATCTTGTCATCAGTTGTATAATAGCACTTGGAAATTCGAAATTACTAAAATTTACAATGGATGTTTTCCTTCTTCTCTCAATAATCATGCATCTATGTGCTCTTAAATGTGATAAACATAACACACGGTGCATCCACTAGAGGCACAACATCTATTAAGAATCTCATCAATGGGTTGTTTTCTGATATTGAAATGATTAAATGAAACAATTACCATGCACATTGCCAGATAGCTACTTAAGTAAAAAAAACACACATTCACAGATTCTAGGCATAACTAACAATGATTGGCTTTACATTTCTTTAGATTAATGGTTTCAATGAAAGACTCCAGGAGAGCCATACAGTACTTTTAGGACAGGACCCTTGGAACAGACTAGGGCAAAAGGAAATTTGCCTCCAAGAAAGTAAAAAAAATGGATTTTTCTCTTCATAGACGTTTACACAAGATGATTGATAACCATACGTGGCCTGAAATGTTATACTTCCTGTCAGAAACACAGAAAGCCAGAGACACAGCTAGCTGTTGAAGGAAACAGCTTTGCACAGCAAACAGAACAAAGGTAATGCACATCACAGTTAAAGACAGGGCTGAGTGCATGCAATTTTAGTACTTTTAAGCTTTCTGTGGTCAATGTGATGGTTATGTAAGCATTAACCTCAGACTAGCTTCAGGTTTTTAAACAAAATTTTGATTTATATTATGTGAACTCATGCAGCTTAGTGTTCTTCTTCTGTCACTTCATTAACTTTCATGTCCTTGTAAAAAAGCACTCTTCGTTGACACTGTTGGTATTCGAAATGGTATGAAGTGCCAGATTGTACTTTATAATAATAAACCTCTGTTCCTGTTGGTCACAGACTATAGTACTGTTTCCAGGGACATCTCTTACTGCCTACCAATGGCTACCAGACAAAAACACGGCCATAAGGGGAGGGACACAGTACACAAAATAATGCCAACAGAACATAGCAATGTCATTGCTCAGTAGTGACTGCGCATTACAAACAAGGAATACACAAAAAGCCCCCTTTAGCCCTTTTGGAAGGCCTGACCAGACAGAGAATGGTTATTGAACATGACGGGTCCTGTAAGGGAAAGACGATTGTGTTCAGTAACAAACAACCGCTTTGAGAGAGACGCTGAAACAGTGAAGTTTTCTTTTGTTTTTGCTTTTTCTCCAACAACCCAGTTCAGTGAGACACAGTCGTGGGAAGATCAGGGCGTCTAGTTTGAATTATTTTTGGTTTGGGACAATTCTTTGGTTCTTCCTCTTCTTCATTGTCGCTATCACAGACATGAACCACCACGCTGGGAGTCGACTCTGTTCCTGCATGGAGCTCATACTTCTCTCCTGTAATGAAATACAAAGAGAAAGGCTGATGTGTTAGCATCGCTGTGCTATCCCAGAGTGCCAGAGCAGCCAGTGTTTGCCTGCCTTAGTGTAATTAGAATGGGCCTGTAAAAATGATTTAGCTACGAAGAAAAAGATTTGAAGGCAACAGCAAAAACTATATTTTTCCCCATATTTTAATTATATCCCAAAAAACAACTGCTCTGTCAGAAAATGTCAACATACCCCAGGCTTAAAGCTTAGTTTTTCCTGAATCTCTGTCTAAAACCTTCCTAGTCATTTCATTTGAAAATGTCCTGCAATGAATCTGAGAACTGACAACTTTATGACTCTGAGAACTGAAACGGATCTAGTCGAAAGAAAAACCCCACCTTTCTTGCCAGTCTCATTTGTGTACATTAGATAAAAAAAGAGTACAATTCATTAACTAAAATTAATGTTTACATACATTTTAAATAAATTGTTGCTTTGCCATTGTGCAAGATTTAGTCCTAAATTGTCACTAAATCTAGATTTTTTGAAGACATATTTTCCATGGAAGAATCCTTACAACACTAGATGGTGCTCTATGCCTATAATTGTAGGCATATGAAAAAAGTCCACAAATGTCAGATCTGTTTCAAATAAAAAAGTAATTATTAAATTACTAACATGAAAAAGACTTAAGCAAACCCTCACAACTAGTTTCACACAAGCAGAGTCTAAAATTATATTTGTGCACTTCAAATAAAGGATTGACTTTTAAATGATGAAAGCATATTGGCCAGTGAAAAAAGCAATTTCTATGGCAGTGACAAACAATGAACCAGTACATTGGTTACACTACACTACATGTGGCTACATTTGTATTAAAAATAACCAGATTCTAACTGAAAAATCATGTTCTATTACTACTGTACAATTGTTTGACTCTCTCTCCGTATTATTAGAATTATTATTGAAATTGTCAAGAGCAGATTTTAAAGTGAATCATGAAACCCTGAGATTACAAGACAGGAATCATAATCAGATACACACCACACTTATAACCATGTAATGTATGTTTTGCCAAGATCACCTTGTAGAGAAAGCAGTGTTTTATCAAGTGACTTTGAAACTGGTCCACAACATAAAGGTTACAGTAGCTGTTCTTCTGCTGCACATGGAGCACTGACGGCTAATATGATGTTGAAAAAAAAACTTTTTCTTTTGTAAGATATTGTATTCATGGTCTTTTAAGTAAATCAATTTTGAGACATGAAGGCATTATTGTGCACTTGGAGGACCTACAATTGGTAATGTGTTCCAGAGAGCACATCTTTTTTCTACAACTCTGAGCAGGTGTGAACCTCAAAGATTAACACAGAGCAGACACCTATAAAACACCACAGACAAGACAGATTACTGCAAAAGGAAATTTTGGCCTTACTCTGAGTTATGAAAACAGATTCTGTTTGATATTTTGATGGGTATAGTATTGAGCAATAAGAATTTCATGAAAGGACCGATAATAATAATAAAACCGATAAATAAATAAAAAATCCATGCAAAATACTGCCTTTCACAGGAGAACAAAAAAGTATACAGTGTATACTGGTCCTAGTTAATCTGTGTTTCCTTTTCTGTATTTATGATGGGACGTTCCAATTAATTTAACCTTTATTTTAATGCTTTCAATCCATCATATTTAGGAATAGACTCAGCAAATGCCTATTTATCAGAATACTTGAACAAATAATCAATATGTTCCATATTATATAGCATTGAAGCTGTTCAAGGCTTAACGGTACACTATGAGGGATCTTGCCTGATTGCACTGAGCAATGACTCAGTACTTCTTTCCTTAGGCATCAGCTAATTCTGACGTCAATGCTGTTCACTAAAGCCAAGGGACAACTGGTCAGTCTCAAAGAGTGCGCAATGCTTGATCAGCTTATCACAGTGCCACCAACCAAAGAAAGCCATGAACATAAAAATGGCAAAAGCTTCACAAATACTGGTTTTTGCAAAGTATTTTTTTAAGGTAGTGGAAAATACAGCAGGACTTACTGCTACTACTGGTCTTGGAAAAATTGCATGAGTCTGTGGGTTCTTTGCGTGACTTGGTGGAACAGTGATTAGCATTGCTGCCTTGCAGTGCTGGGGCTCTGGCTTCTTCAGGACCCTGATTTGGAAGATGTGGTTAGAAAATGAATGGGTGAATAGCCGTGGAAAGCTTTAGGGAACGCCACAGTGTGGATAGTGATTAGGGCTCTGACCTCTGACCCAGAAGATAAGGTGTTCAAATGTCAGGTCAAGACATTTCACTCAAAGTCTTTTAGTACGTACTGTACATACTCATTGTTCAAATGGGTCTCCAGGCCCTCACTGTAACAGAACATATTTATTCTCTTTCCTTACCTGGTAATGGAATAGAAAGTGCTATATACATGTACTGTACACGTAAATAACAATTATTAATAACAGCAGAAACCATCTAATTTTAAAATAAAATTCTAATAACAGAAATGAGGTATTATTACACTACAGTATGTGATGGTATCAGATCACTAGGGACTGTGGGACATATTGAAAAATAACTGTAGCTGTGATGAACACAGCAGATCTGTTGATCTTGTAGATGACCTACAAGCCCAGTAATCCTAAACTGACATTAACATAACTCCTGAGAATTGTAAAGAAAAACCACGCAGGTATTGAAAGATCAGTAAGGGGCTGTGGTTCAGTTTAATGTGCTCATTTTGAGATACATGTTGTATAGTATATTTCCATAACTGTTGTGATAGGATGTGATGTCCTATGGGAGGGATCGCAAGAAATTTACCTCCTATTTTGACCTGTGTCATGCATGTATACCATCCTCCGTAGACAACTACAATACAGTCTTCAGAAGACCTGCAGGATTTTGGCCTGACTCTAAAAATGATATATATCCCAGCTCATACCAAATAATTCAAGAGTATGAAAGGAACAGAATTAATGTGAGTTTTGTAAATAATTATAATGCAGGAATGCAAGTCTGTTCTCCAAAGCACAGTCTGTTTATTCTATGATTTATACTGAGCACCATTTTAATTTATTATCCACCTATCCAGTTGAAAATATATTGCTGTTACTGATGACCTAACATCAATATGCAAGGTAAACACACATGATCTGTATCTAAAAATAAATGAGTGAAGATGAAATGTCAAAAATTGTTAGAACACTGAACTCTGTATACAGCTTTTTAAAGCCAAAAAGTTCTGCTTTCACGATCAATTGTTCATACAGCATAGTACCAATTCTACCACAATTGGTGATCTTTAAGAATGTCAGAGGTCATTCATACAGTGTAGTGAATGCTTTAAATACAGGCTAACATGGTCCTTTCCCACTGTACCAGATCAAACTGTTTTATCTACAGTATAAAATCCTTTGTGCTCATAATATACTAAATTCCTCATCATTAAGATGGAAAAAATTAAAACCCAGGCATTCAAAGCCTATGTGTCACTGTATTATCTCACCTACCTGTATTTCTTGAAGCAATTAAATAGTCTGAAAACAAATATAAACAATGGGTGTCCACATATAAATAAGTCGGTCATATAGAAAATTTTAGCAATGTACTGTACTCTGAATGCAATAGCTAGAACCTAATAATGCTGCTTATTAATGATGTATAATACCATGACTCACGCCTCTATTACTTCTTAAAGCTTTTGTTTTGGATGTGCTGGGGACAGATGGATGTCATCTTCATAATTGTGTTAGGCATGGAGTACTGTGATTCGCTGTCTATTTTTACCACATTCTTTCAACAAAGCCAAACAATTTTAAAATAATTTCTCTCTGATTCACTGTTTCTGAAATATACAAAATTCCTTAGCAACAGTCTAAAAATAAACCGCTGCAGTACATTTCAGATTTCCTTTCCTCTAATATATTGGACGCCATTCAAGACTGAAAAAAGGGGTACTTTATCTTCTTTACATAAACATTTTATTGAAAACACATGGAAAAAGTCAACATGCACTCTTTGCATACCAGTAAATGCACAAGGGAAAAGCTTATGCAGATTTATACATCCATCCATTTTCTAACTACTTTAACCAATAGAGGATAACAGCGAAGTAGGAGCCAATCCCTGAAAGCAACAGGCACAATGCAGGATACACCCTGGACAAGGCGCCAGTCCATCGTAGGATACCCACAAACACAAACACATACACTGACACTCACAACAGGGGCCAATTTTTACCAAAAGCATGGAGGAAACCCACGTGAACATAGGGGGAACATACAAACTCCACACAGATAACACCCCAGAAACTGAACCCTGGGCCCCAGTGCTGTGAGGCAGCACTACTAACCACTGCACATCTATGCTGACACAGATTTACAATATACACAACTGATATATTTTCATTACATCTATTGTTGTTTTATGTGAAAATATCTATGGCACTTATTTGAGGCAAGACCAGTACACTTTTTGAACTGTTATAATTGTCTGATTGGAGACCTACAGCTATCCATTGTCTTATCATTTCAATCAGCTACAGTGGCCAAGAGATCAGATGGCTAGATTGGTTGCCAACCTAGAAATGACCAGACAATTCCCAGGAGATCTGTAAGCCAAGAGCACAGTTAAAAAGGTCAATAAATTATTAATACGATTCCACTGGTTCACTCTCTTAACCTCTATTTGATCAAACAAACTACACCACGGGTGAATTTCCATCTTCACATGCCAGACTACAGAAATCTTCCCAATTAATCTGAGCAAAAGGGAAAAGGACATTTTCCCTTTAGTAAAGACTTTACTTTCAGTAAGGTCTTAGGTCTTTTATTTTAGAAGAAAGGGGATTTATTTTGGTCTTTGTGGTATTTGACTCAATGTCAGGGTTAAAATCTATTTACTGGTTCTGTGGAAAGCTAGCCACAGATAGTTGTAAATAATTGTAACTAATCATAAATGTTGTGTATTTCTGTTTTTGTTACTAATTGTAAACACATATCTGTTCATCTATTAACTTAGGTTTTAGCTTTGTTTATTACTTACTCCACTACTTTACTGTGCTAGGAACAGAACTCATGTGTCTACAGTATGTGTATTACCACCCTGTATTCTCTGACATTACAGGGTCTGCAGTTATTAACTTTTGAAATTAGTTTGCAAGAACGCCTCATTTATTTAATTTCTTTACACACCCCAGATTGATATAAAAAATAGTGTTAAGTTTCCTTTGTTAGGCACACTTTCCAATGGGATAAATATATAATATAATATAATATAATATAATATAATATAATATAATATAATATAATATAATATAATATAAAAATTAGACCCTAGTGCAAATCAAATTAAAGCACCAATGGAACAATTGAAAATACAGTACAAATACACTACATCATGGTCTACTACACCTAACCCTAAACCTTATAACACGTCATTACAAAAAATTTAGGTAATAATAAAAATAATTTATTGTATGACTCAGTAGTAGAATAATCCAGGTGTTTAGGGAATCATTCTAAATTTAGCAGTGTACAAATATGTTTTGAAATATAGAAAGAGAAAAATAATGAGCATTTCATGTACAGTTGCAGCTGCAAGTTAGAGGCATACTTTACAGTACAGTGTTGCTATTTTTAGTTACAAATCATATGTCTTGTATTAATAGTATCTAGTAATTACACTTTGTTGTGTAGTCATTCGAGAATTTAATTTCTTCAGCCTCACCCAAAGAAGCATTAAAGAATCATTAAATAAAGCACCATTACAATCTTAAAATATGCAGAGAATAGGTAAGAATTAAGACTTAAGAGAAATCCTGAAATTTGTCTTAAGAAATCATTATATCCCTGGCTTGTCCATTGTTCCTATTCAGCAAAAATATATAGGTCATGCAAACACACCACTTTTGTCCATCTCAGCAATGTGGGCAATCATAATTTATTATGTCTTGGTAGATGCTTAACCACATCTGAAACCTTGCTCAACCAATTCCTTTTACACATTAACTAAATATAGGATAGCACAGGATCCTGTCCTTACACCAGTAAAAAAGTAAAAGTGAAAGGAACCTTTCATAATTGCAAATGTCTCCTTTATTTCACCTTTTTGTTTTGATTTAAAATGCTTTAAAGAGTCAATCAGAATTTGACTTTTAGTAAAAACAGAAAAGTGAAAATATTTCAGCAGATCTTTATGAATTGTAGGCAATTTTAAAAACTGAAAGCTAAAAAACTGCAACTGAAAGGGGGACATTCTTAGAGTCACACCAGTGAGGCTTTAGAAGGGACATTCATTCCAGTAAATTGTAGAGACCAGACACAGTATGCTATATGTGTGTAAATTGTGAGTTGGTTGAACAAGTCATGCACAGGCATGGACAGAGGTACTGTAATTATGAGTGATGGCACTGTTACTCAGTTATTACTGCTTGGCTCATCTGAACATGGCATAAATAATGGTATATGCTATTCTTAAAGATACGTCTGAAGGATGATGCCTTTTTACAGTATAGAGTCCCTGTCACTATACTGGAGCATTAGGACCCACACAGATGCACCAGCAGATGCAACAACAGCAACACAGCAGCAACCTTAGCTTTCCCAGAAGGTCTCTCATCCAGGTACAAACCAGGCTCACACTGTTAAGCTTCAGTGGGCTGCCAACAGTTGTGAGTTGCAGGGTGATACAGCTGCTGGCTAAACTTTAGATGTGATACATTTTTTTTTAAAGGCATTAATCCTCTGATCCACAGGGTGATCCTCTGTGGTTGGGGGAGGAAGGAGATTACCACCAGAGCAGAGTTTCAGGGACATGTGGAAGGGCACATGGTTGAAAATGGCGTTGTTTTTTCCATGTTATGTTGTAATTCTGTATTGTCTTTGTCTCTAAAATTAGAATGTGTTGGCTGACTTCTTGACAGCATCTTAATCCATTGTTGATGTGCATTTCATCCCTGGCTTTTTATCCAAAAAGCTGATTTTCTTATCTCCAGTCAGATTTCAGGCCTTTCTCTTTTGTGCAGTTCTCTACAGTTTAATTTAGACACTTGTTATCTGGGTTGTGCAGTTGTCTGTTGGATACATCTCTCACTGCCACTGGAGTATCAGGATGATCTTTCCTTCTTGCTGCAGGGAAGCTCAATTCAAATGATTCAAATGTTATTTTGGTCTGCTGGTATTTTCCGCTGATACTATTTTACAAAAAGAAAATAAAACCAAAATCTGATCTTAATGTACTTATCAAACTAGAACCCTTTGGGAACAGCTTATTTTGAAAATAAATGAATAAGAAAGGTTTGATGTTGAAACAGCTGATTTATTGAGTTCTCCTTACACACATTGCTGTTTTTTAACACATATATAGAAGATTCCAACATATTAATCTTCAAACACATACAGTATGCAGGTAAAATATGTGTTGTATGGTTAACATTTAAGATTCAATGTATAAAAATATCCACAGCAACTATAAAGCAAATATGAAACTGGCAGGACATAAAATTTTATAAATACTTTTAAGCAAGCCTAACACTTTCCATCCCAAAGGCATGATCTTTAGATATAAAAGGCAACCATTTCTTCCACCACTGGCACGTACAAAGTGAGACAAATTTAATAATCCATTTAATTAATGGCAAGCAAGTTGCCATTACTACATAAATTCTGTATTTATATATTTGTGGGGAGTTCCTATTCTATTATTAATTAAAATGTACCAGAAACAAACAGTTTTGGTGCTTTTTATTTTCATAGTTACTACTATATACTGTATACAATATACCTTAAGGAGATGTCCCCAGATCATACAGTTACTGTCTTTTGTCTTAGATTTTGTTCCACTATCAGTAGTAGTACATGCAGACACAAAAATACATAACTCATTTATATATAACTCTTTTTATGCCATCTTCTAAATTGATGAAATACTGTAAACTCATTTCCTTTATTTTTCACTTAAACTGAAAGTTGGTTTAGGTCAGACATGTTAATCTTGATACTAGTCATTTTTCATAAGCTTATCTTGTGATTGGCCCAGATATTGGACTGCATACTGTATCTATTTCTGATCTCCCACTTCAGATTAAATGTGTTTGGAGGACAGATCATAACAAACAGCAGGACACACCATGAAAACAGAAATGATTGAGTGAAAAAAAATATTAGCTTGAGTCTGAGCTCGTAGTTACGCAATGCTTTAAAAATAAAACACTAATGCAACCATCTAAAACTGATGATTACGGTACTGATATGAGCTTCGTGCAGTTCACTGTACAACAAGCAGCAGAGTTCATTGCTAGTGACTCAGAAATCGGATTGCAAATACAGGATAAACTACAGATTATGATGATGTTCTAACCAGATGGAATTATGCAGTATGAGTTCCTAAAGAGTTACGCACAGCACAGCCAATTGACCAGTGAAGGATTACTCATCCCGATAAAAATAGGATACTGGTGCTGCACAGCATTGCTCAATTATGAAATATTCATTGAACAATCGATTGATGGCACTGGATGTTAAATTTGAAACGTGTGAAAAGACTGTTGTAGTATTACTCATCATTATTTCAAGATGCTATTTCCCTACATCTGGAAGGAAGCATTCAGGTAAAGCAGGGAACAATTCTGAGCCTTCTTTGAATGTGCCTTGAATATCACCGATATCAGCATCTTGATCTATAAAGGTCGATGTAAGGAACCTAATCCTCTTGTAAGTTGGATTCAGCATTTAACCAGAAATAAAAAATCATGCTGTCCATAAAAAATGGTGTGGACTTCAAAATAGTTAAATATTCTGCTCATGATGTGTTTTATTTGTATTAAACATATTTCTGATTCATAAGATACTGGCTTTTTAACATGTTTACATTGGCATAAATCAAGCATTACACTCCAAAATATGTGAAGTGCATTTTAAAATAAACTAGGTATACTTTATTTGCAGACATTTGGAGAAAACTGAATGATATTATAAAATAAATCAAATATATTATAACATTGTTAGATTTAATTAACCAATGTGCCTGAAAACTGTTCAAAATACATGGTAAAATATATTTTTACCCATTTTTAAAATATTACAAGATATTCATTTTACTGTTTCTAGATTTAAATATCTTGGATGAGTGGAACACAACACATAGACATAAACAATCGAAAACATATTGTTTTTATATATTGAGAATCTGATCACTAATAAATAAAACAAAATATACTTGCAACAAAAACTCAGATTTGAAAATAAGACACTGAAGGATAGTGAAATTTGCAATGAAAGGTATTATAACATGGAACTCTACGATCAGAAATGTAATTGCAAAGTACAGCTTTGTGCAAAGCTATTGTAGTCTGCAAAAACTACTGCTGATTCTTTTAAATTAATCTTCTCCTGTGTGAACCAACCATAAATACTAAACTCAGCCTAATTATTTTTGCAACCTCAACACATACTTGACTGAGAACTGAGCAGTACATTCTGCTGTATGGAAACATTATGGTCATATGGTCAACTTTAATAACTAATGTGAATCAAATCAGAATTTAAAATATATATTATATTTGTGTGCTACAGTAATCTGTGTTTCAGTAGGGTGCCTTTAAGCTTACTGTGTTAATGATGAAGCATGGAACGCCAAATATGGTTTCATAATTCAGCTTATTATATTACATAATCTTAAAATGATCCTTCTAAGCAGAACTAAAAAATGGAATAAGAAATTATATAAGACATTCAATACTGTTCTCAGTGAGATCCCTAATTGACTGGAAACGTGACGTTTTGAAACAGTATCCTGAAGAGAGAGAAATTAAAAATTCTTTATATTCCATTGCCAAATTGTGATTGATTTATTTAGCTAGCCAGTCATGGAATGATCAATTAGACATTGATGTGCTAAAGCAAGCAAGATGGCCAAAATCTGAAACAACTGCTTTAATGTGAAAATATCTCACTTGCCAGGGTACCAGATGGAGTGGGCCCTGGAACATAATCAGACAAATTAGATTCCTTCTCAGACACGCCTATCCTATTTACCAAACAATGACCAGGCAGAAACAAGAGCACAAATTTAAAAGAATACAAAATAGAACTGCACAGTTCATTTAAAGAAATATGTTGAAAAAAAAAATTCTGTCAATTTGCAGTGGCATTTGGTATACTGTACATATTTATGGGATAGAATAAAGAAACTTACTTTCCTTTGCTACCGTATTTTTATTGTTGATTATATAAAGGTGTGTGGTTTAAGCCTACAACACAGATTTTGCTTCATTAACAAAAGCAGACACCAATTTAGTATTTTTTATTTCCTAAGCTCTAAGGCATATCTCACCAACATACAATACAAGAAGCTAAGCAATATAACCCAAGTAGGCATTTTAAAAATTACACCTTAATGCTCATCATTTGGAACTGGTTTCAGCCATACTCAAGAGACACAGAGGAAAAAATCTACACAATAAGCACATCTGCAGCTTCCTCAGTGTAACTGCCTTAAAAGCTCATCACCACTGATTTATACTGTATGTAGGTAATGGGACCACCTATTCAAGCTTCCACAAGCATGCCTCTGCATACTCATATACTGTATTAAGGTCCAAACCTAACACACAAAAATACCTGATAATTGTAAATGTAATAGGTTGTATGAGCCTTGAACCTTCGTACAGTTTAGTGAAGGATCCTGTTGCAGTTATATTATGTCTATGACATACAGTAATGCTTTGTTTATCAATTTTTACATTTGGCTTTAATACTGTAACTTCAGTCAAATTAAAAAAAGAATTGTCCGTAGCAGACTCATCACACAGTAGTTCATGTAATAAGTATTATACATTAGTGTAATAAGTATAATGCTGTTAATCTGTGTTCTCTTTGTCATTTTCTGGCTACCTTCATAATCTTGAAAGAGAACAATGACACCATTCATGCTTTTAAAAATGGCATGTAAATTTACAGAGTAGTGACTTTAAAAACCTAAAATAGAACAAAGGTTGACCTACTTTATAAATAAGATTGCTGCTGATACAGCACTTCTCCCTAGCCTAGGGTTACAGTAACTTCCAGTTGCAAGTAAGTACTGTTTCTATGGTATCTTCAACCTTTTGCTGACAACCTTTATAAAGATACATAGTCCAATAAAAAACAGGATTTCCTTTTGAGATCTTCTTTAACATAATTTTGTTCTCTGCATCTCATAAAATGTATTGAAAATCTCCTTGGAACTTTTCACAGTCCTAAATTAAATTGGAACAACCTTTCATAGATGACCATTTTGGCTTTTTTATGGGAACCCTAATGAAATGCAGCTCCGCACACAGAGGTTAACTACAAATGATTACTCCAAGGTACAAAAGCAAACTTGCCAAGAACATCAATGAACACAAAAGAAAAACAAAAGAACGGAAACACTACTCCATCTGAATCACAACTTCAGATTTGGGTAACAATACTGTGTCACCATGGATACAGAAAGAAGATGATAAAATATCTAGACTGCAGAGGACTTGCCCATGTAGATAAAAACAGAAGGACCTCTAAGAAAATGGACACCAAACAGCAGAATACAGACAATAGAGTACAGAAGGAAAACATAATCCCAACTTTTAAAGTCCTTAGAATACATAACAAATCTACACAATATTACCACGTCAAGATAGCAGTTTTACAGAAGCATAACCCTGTTGCTTATTCAAGCGTTATGCAACACATGATGGCATTGCTGACCTGCAGCTTTGGGGTCCTGTGTTCAATCCTGGACCTGGATTGCTATCTGTATGGAGTCTGTATATTCTCCCTGGGTTCATGTGGGTTTTCTTCAGGTGCTCTGGTTTCTTCCAAAGACATGCTGGTAGGTTGACTGGTTTTGGGGAAGCTTGCCCTCATGTGAGTGTGGGTATGTGTCTGTGTGTTTTCTGTGATGCACTGGCTTCTTGTCCAGAGTGTACCTACCATAACCTTCTATTGGATGAAGCAGTCAGAATGGACAGGTGACATGAACTACATCAGCAATAGTAGTTATTGGATATACAGTACATAATTTCATCCTAGTCCAAGATGATTTTGCAATCATGAACCATGAAATGTAAATGTATGTTCACAAACTGGCATCTACAGCATTTCTGAAATGTACCCCCAATGTGAAAAAACGTACCTTCATCAATGCTGGATGTATCCTACAATAAACATGCCTAAGCATTGCCTGTACAGTATACAGTACAGGGTAAATGACAACACACTGGGGAACCAATCCAAAAACCCACCCTACATTGAGTTCATCATGATCAAAACCAAAACTTGGATACATTAAATGTGCCACCTGGATACATTTTCTTATACTGTACTGTATATAGTAAATTGTATTCATACACATTGTTATATTATTGCATTGCATATGCTTGCTTTTGAAATATAGAACCATTATAAATTATAACACATAAAATGCCTAAAGTTTTCTCTCCCTTGAAATGATCCATTCTGTTGAATTATAAATGATATTTATTTATGCTCAGATTTAAATTGTATACAGAAATTGTATACACATTTGGTTAAAGTGAATATTTTTAATCAAAACACAAATGTTCACACTGAACATTTTTATGGATGGAATGTTGGCAAAAACTGCAAAGGTGAAACAGAAACACAGCATGGATATTTAAAACCATACTACAGAGGTTCAGCCTTTTGGTTAAGATTTAAACTGAAAACAGGTAGCTTAACAGTACACATTAAACCTGAACATAGTAAAACCTAAAAATATTGTGTAGTTTTGTTACTACTTTTTAGAAAGTTACTAAATTTTAGAAAATGTACATTTAATATTTATTTGACTTTCTTTGAATTCCAAATACCAGGGACGTTTCCTAGCTGAACATATAAATATCTACATATAAAAAATCATGAAATATGTATTATTTAGAGTACATAATTAACTCATGGATTTTATTCAGTAAAAGAAGAGTGCTTTGTTACCTTGACAGAGATTAAGCACATGATCAAAAGAATTCTTCACTGTATAGCTGTACAAAAATGTACAATCAGGTTTTACTATTTGAAATTACTCACTCTTTACTCACTACACAACAGCTTCACAACAGCTTTTAGAAACCCTCTGGAGCTCTGTTTTTGCATTTTGCATTTATGATGCTTGATGGAAGCATATTCCTTAACTGCCTTAACTGATCTGGAAGTCAGAGCAGGACTGCCACGTTACCCTGGGGATTTAAGTGGAGTATGTCACTGCAGAGAGGAAGATGTTTGTGTTTTTTTACATCAAAGAGCACTCACCAGGTCCTAGTTTCGCAACTGCGTAAAGCAAGTCGTAGTTGATGACAGGTGTAGCATCGTCAATCTGCTGCCATCCCACAGGGGGTGAGGCTGGGGGGGAGATGAGGAACTGTTTGGAGGGCTGAGGTGGTGCCAGGTGCAGGTTGTCTCCATCCGAGCCTGGATTCTGCATCTGAGGAACAGAGAGGCTTTTTCATCAACCTGCATTGTGTTAGACAGGTCTGTTTGTCGGAGACCATTGTAAATTCACATCTTCCTGCAACTGAATGAGACACTTGACAATCTTTTATCCACTACTTTTCTTGCAACTCTGCTCCCTTGGGCACTTTATTTTATTTATTTCAAGACTGGCGTCTCAAAAGCGGAACCGCACCTACAGTATATTCCATTCATCTAATAAGCAATGGCCTCATATTACTTCAGCATCATGACACCTGGTGGAAATACAGACTCCCTCCTCTCTAGTAATCGCAGTTTGTTACTCATACTGCCTCTTTTTAATACTGTCTTTTAGTTAGCTAAAGGACAAAGGAATAATGCATAGGTGATACACAGATATCAGTTGTGCTTTCAACAAAAAAAAAAACAATATATTTTAGTTCAGGTGGGTAGCTGCATCAGCATGCGTAGGCTGCAAAGAAACAAGTAATAGGTTTATTCCATAGGCTTATTCAGCATGGAATAAACCTATTACTTGTTCCAATATATTTTAGGACTACTTTAGACTACTCTAGTTAGGAATTTAAACATCATCCCTACATTTGTGATTTACATATATATACAATTACATACTGTTCAAGTGCCTATCTTTATCTGATTCACCCTATACCTGCTTCTCTTGGCCCTGATGAGTAAACCTCTCTGCTTTGGAACCCCGATGACAAAACCTCACTCAGCATATAATAATAACATCAAGCAAATCTTTAAGACAAAGTCTAGAGAACTCCCATTTACCTGTTTCTCCAACCTAACCATTCCAAAAAATACCTTTTCAAACAGATTTCTGCTCCTGGGTGTCTAATGAACGAAAAGCAAAAAACAAAAATCCAATAAAGCTCATTTCCAACAACACAACGTTGTCACAGATAGCCAAAGACAAACTCAAGTGTTCAGTGTTCTTTTCCATCATGATCAAATAACAATAAGAGACAGACACTGCCCCTAGACACACCTGCTTGAAACTTGAAAGTATTACACAAACTGCTTGAAAGTATTACACAAACCTCCTATTATGCTTCACCTCCCAGAACCTCATTTGCAGAGTCTCTCCTGTTCTCATTTCTCAGTATTTCTCAGAGAGGCATCAATCCCATCGATTTGCGATAATATAGTACTGTATATGAGGCTGAACCCCAGATTCTAACTACTGTCACAGACCTGCCTTCAAGACATATTACACTATATGCATCACTGATGTACAGTAACTCCATACACATCTTCTTATTATTTGGATGTACAGTACAAATATTCTCATCTTGGCAAGTGGATGACTAATGTGAGATTTACAACAGGTAAAAAAAAGATCAAAGATGAACACAGGGAGACCATGAATAACTCTCATTAAAATGTACGTATACTGCAATCTGCAATTTCTTATTTCTTCTAAAGCCACCTCACCTGAGCAAAGTAGAGCTTTAGTTTCTTTCCTCTGAACTGTGTTTCATGTAACTCTATCCTGGCACTGGCTGCTGCTTTTGGGTTACTGAAGTTGATCCGCACACGTCTGAAGCTTTTAAACAACTGGAATGTGACATGGTCGTCATAGGCTTGGAAGAGAGCCTCAAACTTTTCCTGCAAAAAAAACAAAGCAAAGTACATTTTATTTCAACATAATGAAAGTGAATCATCTTTATAGTAAGAGTTATATACAGTACCACCAGATACACAGAAGACAGAAGCAAATTTCTTCTTAGATTGATTTTATTTATGAATCAATAGAATTGATGCCATATAGTACTGTACTGTATGTATTCATTATGTTTTTTCTTCATATTAATGTTGGATTAGATTGACTCTTCTAGAAGTTTAAAATTTGAATGTCAAAAGAAAAGTACAATTTCCAAATCATTGAGAACAAAAAACACTATTCCAATACAGTTCAGATCAAACGAGTTCCATTTGTCTCTTGGATTAATACTGCTGCTATAGAATACAAGACTAGAACTAATGAGCAAATGAATAAGTGTCTGCTTATCATCTCCATTCTCACATTTACACACAGCTCAGTGAGAAAATAAGATTCATAATTCTTGCCTCCGTTATCATGAGTTAGTGCAGTACCCACTATAAACCCACAGTAAGATATGAAAAATAAATCCCTTTAGCCTGAGGTCTGACTTTACACAACCGTTCAATACTGAATTTCCATATTCTACAGTCACTCTTATTATTTTTTGCCTTGTTTTCTCTCTGCTGGATTTTCACTTATTGTGATTGGCATCTTGAAGAAAAAAAAATCTTCTCTTGTACTGTAACTGCCCAAATTGGATTAGTCGATATTCAGTCAGGTGACTACAATTCGTTGTTTTTTTAATATATAATATATACAGTATATATGAATAGATATAACGTACAAAGAAATATTTTTGGCATTGTTTCTATGCAATTGCACATTGAATGATACAGTAAAACCTTGATTAAGTAAATACTTTGTTAAATTAATATGTTGTTAATTTGTTTGAGGTCAAAAATTTATTTGAATATGTTCTGTTTTCTTAGACTCAAAACCTTGTCAAAACCGGAACATATTCAAACAAATTCAACACTTGCCTTCAATTGTAACTGACTTGCTATTTGGAACAGCATAAAGGAAACAACAATAAAATAAATCTATGTGACAATTAAATATGGTAGCAGTGCAGTAATTAAGCTTTTACAGCATATATTTCAGGTGGCACAATGAAACAGTAGTTAACATTTCTGCCTCTCAGTGTTGGGCCCCAGGTTCAATTTCAGAGCTGAGGTGCTTTTTGCATAGGGTTTGTACTGTATGTTTTCCTCACAGTCATGTGGCCTTTTCTCCCACAGTCCAAAGACTGGTGTGAGTGTGTGTATGACTGTGTGTCTGCCCTGCGATGGAGTAGCATCTCGTCCAGAGTGTATTCTGCTTTGTGCTTGCTGCTTACTGGAAGAGGTTTCTGCTCTCCCATGACCCTCTTTTGGATAAAGCAGTTAGAAAATGGATGGATGTACTGCATGTACAGTACATACATTTAGAAATACTACAATTGAAGCAGAGCTACCAGTAAAAAACAATTCACACAAGCTAGGTACAGTATGAGTCCGGAAAAGTAGTAAGCTTACACAATTTCTTATTTAAAGACACTGTATACCTTCTGTATACAATATATGTTGTTTACACAGTGTGTGCAATATCTACAGTATATGTTATACTACTCTTGCACTATGGGGGGTACAGTGCCAGCTTTCTGAAAAGTTAAATCTGCTGTGAAAAATAACAAAAGCATTTTGGCAACATCAGGGGACTTGCCAACATTATTTATAATTTCATATAGAGCTTGGATATACTATGAATCTGATAATGCACCCAACATCATTTACATCACCAAAGGAGTCAGAAACTTAGTAAAATCGTTGAACAGATTTTCATAGTCTTTTTGGGAGATTTACAATGACTCAATTATATTTTTGCCTGTGGTTTATTAAAAATCACTTTAGATTGCACTTAAAAGTAGTAATAGAAGGCATAACATGTTACTTTCCCAACTCCAGTTCTAGAACACGTTTTGATCTATTCTGCACCATTACATAGGGGTTGTTTAAAAGGGTCAAACTAGACAAGTGGTAAACTTAAGCTTTGTGCTCTAGTATTTTCATTCAACACTAGATCACTGGACTTATCAGGTAAGTGCTCATTGTGGGACTGTAACTGAACAGAGTATTTAAAGACAATGCCCCCAGTTATGCTGGTACCCACTCCCAGCTGTGCAGGCAGGAGCAACGTGAGTAAAGGACCTTGCTCTAGGGCACAAAAGAAGGGTTTGCAGCAGGTTCTTGAACCCATAACTTGACAGGTATGAGTCCAGATTTACTTCAAATATACATTTTGCTGTCTCCTACCTGGGTCATGAGGCAAACAAAACATTCACATGTCCTGTGACTGAATAAAATACCTTGAGAACATTACTGCTCCCCTGAGGATGGAACTGGGAAACAGTAAATCAAAATAAGATAAACTGTACTGAACCCTTGTCATGACAGCTATCAGCTGCAGGTATCAGAAAACAATCTGTTTGCTTTACTGTTTTTCCTCAAAGATGCAGCTTTCACTCCTAAAATTAAATCCCCTAGTGATTTCTGTGAAAGGCTGTGAAAGGAAAACAAAAGAAGCTTATACATTGTTGCGAATGTGTTTCCAATCAAATCCAAAATACAGTACACAATAGTTGTCCTGCAAATGTACTATCTGAAAGGTCTACAAACCATAAGGGACTTTAAACAAGTGTTTGCTGAAAATGTTTTGTTGAATAACAGATATTTTAAAATCTAAAGGAAATCTCCTTTGCTTCAGTGTTTCTTTTCCCTACAAACCCCCAGCTAGCATTGTGATGTACATTTAAGCTAAGAAAAACCATACTGCATTTCATTTTTCATTGCTACATGTGCATTCCGCGTAATTCCAGTAACTCTGTTTTCACTGCTTGCGTGCCTCTGCATTTCAGAAGCGTCTCACTTTTGTAAGCAAAATAAACATGTCAACCGGCAAACAGTCAAACAAAGCAAAATTATATGGAAAAAAATGACATAGTTCACAACAAGTCAGCTTTCAGTAGTAGCTCTGAAGAAACTGGAAAGAAAAGGGCTTGATAGCAACAGACAGGGAGAGTAATGAAGCCTAATTGGTATCCTTACGCTGCCTGGGCTCCCTTGTCACCTTCCTCGCTCACCAGGCAGCTCACGTCAGGCGTGCCTCAAACATTGACGCACATCTCCTCCGTGACGAGCTGCTCATCCGAAGCCAGGGGCTCTTTCAAGATGAAAGAGCCCTCCCGTGGCAATGCCGAAGATGGGGGGGTGAGGGGGAGCGCAACACATTTACTCAGGCAAGTTTTGAATTCCACGGCACACCCCCTGGTCGATTCTAAAAGCCACCAGCTACTGTCCCCCAGCCACCCCCACTCTCTGACACACTAACTCACATACACGCAGGCAGAGCATGTTTCTGCGCAGGGCTGATGGCCACTGCATTATGTATAACAGCACAAAACAGCATGTGTGATTTTTTTTTTCTCCCTAGCAGGTGTAGAAATTCACTATACCATCTCAGCAGATGTCGTTACAAGCATTGGAACTGCCTCCCCGGCTGAGGTTTATAATTAAATGTTTATTGACACTGGCCTATTATTTTAATATACAGTATGGAAGATATTAGAGAATTATCAAATGTGAAGGACATCACTCAGAAATGCCTTTGCCAGTGATGAGGTTACATCAAAACATCAACCCGGTGAGGAAAATTCTAACGAATGTTGCAGTGTATTGTACTGTATATCCGACACTTGAAGGCAGTTTCACTGTGGTAGAAACCAGAAAGGAACTAACAAGGACTGAATTTGGAACTTGGAATTGGCAGATGAGCCAAAGTTTGGATTTAATCTGGGTCGGCTGCCTTCTTGCATCCTGCAGGCTGTTAATTGCATCCTAATTGAATTTTGGAGCTTTTTATTTAATTGGTTCTATACTGTACATTTTAACACCGTATACTTCAAGCACTCTGTGATAAGAATCTAGGAATGTATTTAAATGTAATTTGTATGTATACAAACTGCCACAGGCATAAAAAAATACATAGGTTATAATGCATATTGTTATCACATAAAACTACTTCGAAGATATAAAATTCTAGAACGCAACTAGCATTTACACAGTTAACGCCATTGGAACATCACAGGTTGTCAAAAGCTACATTACAGTACATGCTAGTAAAAACACTTCATATAATACCTTGATGCATTTAAAGCAATGTTACCAAACTCTGGTTCAAGGAGTTACCTGAGTCCCCCTGGTTATCACAAGTGCTAATTGGATCCTTTTATTGATATACGTGCTATATGGAATGTGTCGATGTTTTGGTTTCATAACTGTTTTTTTAATTAGGTACCCTGGTATAAACATGAGAATGAACTTGAATATAAAGCCTTTCTGTTTGTGAAAATAAGCATTGTAGCTTCATTCAATAAAAACAATAAATCAAGTTACAAAATAAAAAAGCCAAGTGGATTTTTAGTCAGTTTTGTTTTCTTATGTGTGTAATTTCACCCAGTATCCAGTAACACCACAGAACAGTTCACCGGGGAGACTGCAGCTCCCAAGGTAAAATTCACAAACATTTTAATGAATATATTTCTAAAAACATTTTGACTTAAATGTTTTATCGTGCTGTGTGAGATATTCTAAAAGTCAATAAATACCCAAAGACTAATGTAAAGGAATCATCTGCTTTAGGTGTTGTTTGAAACCAGTCTTTGGCCTTAAAATAATTCAATTCAGTTTTATTTGTATAGCGCTTTTTACAAGGGACATTTTCACAAAGCAGCTTCACAGATTTCTGGGCCTGAACCCCCAGTGAGCAAGCCTAAAATACTGACTATGACAAAGCTACAGAAGTCATATTTGAGCCTAGCCTTGAAGAAGGAAAATAAATGTGTTCATTATTTTGTATAACCTGTCACATTTGAGAAACTGTTACTTGGGGACACCTTGCGACACCATGTGTCTTGTATGGAGTAAAGGAAGCAACCCTCTACACAATCTTCTTTTCAAACTCAGTT